TCATCCTCTCTCTTTCAGCCAGTCCTCCTGATGCCAGTGGGTTGTTCCATGGTTTCCAGGGCACACACAGCCCCAGCCTGGCTAGAACTCCATAGTTATGACATATCATCACAGTTTTTATAACATTCAATTTTATAAAATTTCACTAGATTGTAATAGAACAAGAATAGATTGATAGGCAAGACTTGGTTAAGTCAGATATTTCCAAATATAAAACACTTCAAGAGCTGACTGATTCCTAAGGTAGAGTTCATCATTCATATGAAAAATGAGTCAGTAAAGAGAGGGAAGGTCCCCAACAGGTAGAGATTTCCCTGAGAATGAAACCTCCAGACAAGAAAAGAACTAGGTAGACATTAATAAGTAGGAGTGAAGCCCTTAATGCTTCTTGCCTCTGGCTCAGATTCCTGAAGATAAGTCATATGGAAGACTGTGTGTTGAGATTGTGGCTCCACATTTATCAACTGAGCCATTTTGCAGAACTTAGATATAGAATTAAAATAGTAAGATGTTAGAATCAAGCTGGTGATAAAATAGTATATAGCTAAATATATTTATATACTTGAATATATATACATTGAGATATGCATATGTATGTATGCACATGTATGTATAGATATGTGTGTATGTGTGTTACATTCATATTTTTAAAAAGTATAATAAAGAAAAAATTCAAGCATGCCCAGGATCCATGGTTAGCTTCTTGCAAACATGGTTCCTAATTTGTGTCTATCTGATTTTAGAGCATATTCTATAACGCCTTTTTACTTCTGTAGTTAATAACTACATATACACATAGAATCATAGTTCCTATTTTTTAAGCCTTACTAATTGCCATCTGCTATGCTGAATGTCTCCTATAAGCCTCCCAATTAGTCTATAACATTGGTGTTTTTAGACTTCCTTTACCAATGAAAAAGCAAACTTAGAAAATTTAATTAATCCAAGGTTATACAGTTGGTAAAATAAAGCCCCAAAGCCTAACCACATCTTACCTGCACTTTCCTTTTCATTCTCTCCTTTTCACCACACTGTCATTCCCAGTTTACTCAAGGTATATAAGTATGAATTGAAAACATGGCTTTATTTTCATAATGTCCCTTCCAACATTACAGAGTTCACATACTCGTACCAATGCTCATGCTATTTTTTTCTAACCGCATAAAAGTGTTTGATTTATTAATGGTAAAGTGGGAAAATGTTAAAAGGAAAAGAGAAAAAAACAGAGGTCAAGCAGTTTCTATGCAAACTCTACCATCTTTTCACTATTTAGCTACTTCATAATAAATCAAATGCATTTTATATAATGAAGCTTGTCTTTATTATCCCATTATAGCTGTCTTAGAAAGGAAATAATGTGTACACTTCAGTTTTAGGTCATTTGTAATTATAAAAGGATATGCAGGAAAACTGTGTACTCCTAGTATGCTTTTAAAATCTTCTCCCTTGGTTGTTCCGCACGTTTTTACTGTGTTATAAAGAAAGTATTAGAAAGCTGGGGTTTTTATTGCCCTGATGCCTTTAATAGTACATACTGTGAAACTAAGCTGGATACCTGATTGATGCCATTCCTACCTGTCTGGGAAGATAATGATCAAACATCAAGGGGTCTGTTCTCCAGGTGATGTGTGCATGGAACTCCCATTAATGTTAATGGGAACCCTGCAGCTAAGCACAGTGACTAGAGACAAGAGGCTGAAGGTGTGGTAGGTCCATTAATACTTATTTTTTTCATAGCAGCTGGTTGGATGTAAGTGGTTGGCAGTCCTTTTGAATCAAATGATTGGACATTTAAAAAGTATTGCTTGTGCAAGATACATACACAAAAAACTCTTCATATAAAGTATACTTATACTAAATTTTAATACACAAAATGGTTCTTATGAAAAACTGTTTTTTAAAAGATTTTTTTCCATAGTTCTTCTTTCTGAAAGTATCTCATTAGAAATACATTTTTTATATAATTTTTGGTAAAATAAAAATATAGATGTAAAATGTAAGGACAAAAATAGTATGAAAAATATAATAATGTAAACTGACAAGAGAGTAAATTTTGTACTTAGGGAAATTCACATGTTTAAAATAGTCCAGAGATAAGATATATGTGTAATACACGCACACACATTAAAGAACAAAGCAACATTTATAAGTCTATATTCCTTAATTTATTCTAGAATATTTACTGAAGGTTTACCATTATTTTAGACACTTGAGATGTTGCCCTGACAGATTTGATCCTGGTTTTGTGAATGCTATAATCTAGGGAAATTATAAAGGAGGAAGAAAGTTTAGAAATGGTCATGTTGAGCCCCAATTTTCTGCAGACAGAATTTGTCACTTAGAGAGACCCATTAATCTGTCCATTGATACAAAGATAGCTAGTGGCAGAGATGAAACCAATACAGGTCGACATGTCTAGCAATGTATTGTATAAATGTACTCTTGCCATTGTGACCCCTGCACCTAATATAGTTGTGAACACAAAGTAGGCACCCACTAATAATTTGTTTAATCACAAAATGAAAGAATTATTTTTTTAAAGAACTGCTTCTTATATAGAAAACTCTGTAATGCCTAATTATTTTAAACACTGTGAAATCAGGGAACAATCTCTTGGTCTCTGCTAACTTTAAAATTCTGCAACTCTCAACACAATAAAAACATAACACATTACATGCTACTATTCGATAACTTTAAAAATTGAAAAAGGGTCTTCTGTTTCTGACTAGTACTTCTACCCAAAACAATTAGAACTTCCAAAAAAATATAGACCAGACAGAACATAAGGACTAGATCTGTAGAGAAATTTAGCTTCTATAGAAGACACTTGAGCAAAGATATGCATATGCCAGAAGATCAGGCTGAAGTAGTGAAAGGGTAAGACTTGATTAGGATTTGGAAATAATGTTACACAGCCAGAAACAGGGAAAAAAGGAAAAGTAAATAGATAATACAAAAAGACCCATGGGTAATTCAGATATTATCATTATCAAATATGAACCTTGAATAAACTACTATTGATGTGTTAAAATTGTTGATAAGGTAGAGAATTTCATTTTGAAACCATAACCTATAAGAGATTATTAAATGAATACTCTGAAACTGAAATAATATAATCAAATAAGAATTCGATATGTAAGTTTAAAAGCAGATATGGTACATCATAAAATGGAAGATCCAACATGTGCTCATTGTATTGCTGAAAGGGGAAGAAACAGGAAGTGGGAAATAAGTCACATGTGAAAACTTTGAAAAGTCATGAAGACATTAAGTCACAAATTCAGGAATATTCAGTATTCCGCTGAATAATACAGAAATAATCACATCAAGGTATATCACTACAAATTTGCCAAAAGCCAAATACAAAAACAATATTAACAATGAGAAAAAAAGATTACCTTTTAGTGTGCAACAATAAATCTGTTAGCAGGCTTTTTAACGGAAGGAATGAAAACCAGAAATCATCAATTCAAAACATCTAAGTGATAAATGATATAACTTCAACATATATTTCTGTCACCGAGAAATATTCTTCACAAGTATGGGCCTTATAAGAACACTTTCAGAAACATTAAAACAAAATTCCCCAGATAGAAGACCAGAACTAACAGAAATACTAAAGAGATTCACTAGAAAGAAGAAAAATGATCTGAGATGCATACATACAATGCAGGAAAGCACAAAGAACAATTAAAATAACACACATTTGTGCAAGATTAACAAACATTGACTACATAAAGAAATAATGTCTCATGTAATTTAAATATATACATGATTATAATAAATGTAAAAATACATTAAAAGGAAACAAATAGTAAATGGGATTAAATGGAGCTCCAAGATTAGGGAGACTGTTCCAAAAATTCTTATTTATATTAAAGATCTTATTATTATGAAAAAAAATATTTAGGTTACCTGCTACAAGAATATACAGCTTGGAGCTGGAATTGTAGCTCAGTGGTAAACCAGCACATACATAAAAAAAGTGGAACTAAAAAGTCAATAAGTAACAAAAATGGTAACAAGGAAAAAGAATATTAATCCAAAGAAGGCTTATAACAGTATAAGAGAAAAACATATTTCTATAAACTAGCTCTAATAATTAATATTTAAATGAAAATATTATTTGTAATAACAAACATATATAAAGACTAAGATGAATTTATCAAAACTACAAAACATTTGAAGAAAGTAAAAGACAAATGGATAGATATATTATGTTCATGTATGACTGAAAATTAATATTAAGATTTATATATTCTCTCAAATTTGAAATTTCAATGAAGCAAGTGTAAAATTCCAAAACACATTTTTGCAGTATCAATTGATAAGTTGGTTATAAAATGTACATGGAAAGTGAAAGATTAGGAATAGCCAAGACAATTCTGATAAAGAAAAGTTGCATATCACCTATATAATCCTATTTCAGGATTTAACTGTAAATACCAGCAAACAAATAGTATGTCTGATTGGATTTAAAGATTGCCTGAAATTCAGGCTCCTTTTTTCTCCTTCAGTTTTTCTCTGTTTGGATGGAAATATCTGTAATGGATTTCCTAGGGTTGTCCCACTCGTGTATTTGGGAAGTAAATAACTGATTTTCAGTTATCCTGAGATGGAGAGCAATCCGGCCCTAGGATAGATCGTGCCTGGTTTCATCCATATCTGTTTGAGATACAATTTGGGGCTTTTGAGCTTATGGAATTGGGTTGACTTTTTGAGCTCTGAGTTGATGTTTCAATGGTTTGTGGCTTTGGGGGATGTTGGGATGTGGTGAATGCTATTTGCATTGGGGCAGAGCAGAACCTTGAGTAGTCATAGGGCAGACCATTGTAGTAGACCAGTTCCCCTGCCCCTGCCAGATGTGCATGTCCTATTTCCTGGAACCATGGAATATGTCATTTTACAAGGTAAAGGGAATTCCCAGGGGCAATTAAGGATCTTGAGATGGGAGACTGCCGCAGTCTGGCTGGGCACAAAATCACGAGCCACCACCCAGCTTGTAGATTCAAACAGCAACTCTTTATTCCCGAACTCACACCAGCCGTCTACAATCACGTTCTGGGGAAATCCACGTTCTCTGCCCAAATCCACCCCCACTGGGCTTCTGTCTCCCAAAAAATACTGTCTGAATCCCGTGAGAACTCAAGGGGAACTCAGGCAGCAGGATACGCCCTATTCCCAGCAGGAATAACCTTAAACCTGGAACCACCCTAAACCCGGATTGTCCTAAACTGGGAACACCCTAAACCTGGATTGTCCTAAACCGGGAACACCCTAAACCCGGATCCGCCCTGGTCCTAGCAAGGTCACCTTACATGCAATGTCACTGCAAAATGTCCTATTTCTACGAGTCCTTCCACTAAGCAACATGGGGTACGCTGGCAAGGAAATTGTCATACCTACTTGGCTAATGGCTCTGAGCAGGAGACTATCTTGAAGGTGAGCCCAGTGTTGATCACAAGGGTCCAAATATGAGGGAGACAGAAGTGTTAGTTGGAATGAAAGAAGTTGTGTTGTCAGAAGCATAGGCCAGAAATGATGCCATTGCTAGAAAAGGAAACAGGTCCAGGAACACTGACAGCCTTCCCAAGATAGACAAGTAAGGAAACATTCTCCTCTGAACCTCCAGAAGAAATGCAGTTGGCAGCATTTGTGAGCCTAGGAGGACCTGCTTTGAACTTCTCATCTCCAGAATTGTAAGAGAATAAATTGGTGAATAAATTTGTTGTTTTTGTGTTAATTTGTTACAGTATCAATAAAAACCAATGGAGATACTCATTGAAAAACTGGTATTATCGTAAGGACAAAAGTTCTAAATCGGTAGTAGAGAGAAACTTTTAATGAGTCAGTTGATTTTTGTCAGAGTTGCAAGAGTTATTCAGGGGAGGCAAGTCTTTCTAATAAATGGCTCTGAAAAAATGGAAACTCAACGTGGAAGAAAATACCTTAAACCCTATTTCACATCATATGCAAACTTAATTTGAGATGAACTGAAGACCTAAACATAAAACCTAGAACTACTCTTGAAGAAAACATAGGAGAATATCTTTACAATGTTAAACTATGCCATTTTAATAGATAAGGTATAAAAAGCATTATTATAAAAGTGATTAATTGGAATTAAAGTTAAAAATCATCAGAAAAATGACTAGTAAGAAGACCAGAAAAAAAAAATCCCCAAATATTTGTCTAACAAATGTCCTAAATCCATAATGTACAGTAAATTAAACCTTAATAATATAATGGCAAAATTTTTTTTTAAATAGACAATTTGGACACAACAAAAGAAGATATAATAAAAACCAATGAATACAGATTGAGGCTGCTCAATAAGACTTAGCTATCAGGGAAATGTATACTGTAATAACAATGAGGTATTTTCTGTATGGCCTAGCATAGATAAATTAAAACTGCCAACACACCAAAGGTTACCAAGGATTGAGGCAGGTAGAACTCATATACTGCTGGAAGGAATGTAGAGTGGTTTTGACAACTTTGGAAAATGGAAGTAGTTTCATTCCTATGTGTTACACAAAGGAAATTATACCATAGGCCTGCAAATAATATTTGAACAGGAATGTTCACAGAATCTTTGTTCATAACAGAAAAAAGGAAAAGGAAGAACTCAAACATCCAGCAAGCATAGATGAATTAAAAATTGTGATGTTTTCATACAGTCAAATATGATTAATAATAAAAAGAAAAAAACGTTGTTACACAACAGTGTAGATGAATCTCAAAATGATGATATTGAGAAAAAGAATGTAGATACAAGACACTGTACAAGTTCTGATTCCATTTACATGCAATTCCATAAACACAAAAACCAGTCTATGGTGGAAAGTAGCCAGAACAATGGTTGCCTCTTCATGATAGTGATTAATTCGAAGCTGCTTAGGAAAAATATTTGACATCTTGATAGCAGTGTGGGTTACTCGAGCATATGCATCAAATTAGACCTATAAAATTTCTGTATATTTTTGTGAATTATACTTCAGAACTTTATAATATTTAATATAATTTTCTAAGTTTAAACATATTTTAAAATATTTTGTCATTGTAGCTAAAAGAGAAAGTATCACAGTTGCCGTGGCGTTTGTCCTGGGTGTAAAGGAAACAAGAATGTTGCAGGTGAGGAAATGATTGGGAAAAAAAAATGAAAAAACATACTGTAATCTAAGAACATAGTTGGTCTTATGTTTTTCTTTCCCTAAGGCCCAGTACACATTCAATAACATCGATTGCACAGTGTACGTAAAGGGTACTAAGAAAAAAAATGTCTATTTCCATTATGTAAGTACAAGTAAAATAACTGAAATGTTAGAAGGAAAGAAATTCATCCATAGTTAAATTCTTCTTTATTTCTAATATTTTTCTTGTATAAACTTTGACTTTACATGGATATAATCCCAATATATAACTTGGTCTATAAAGTGATTTTCCTTTTAGTCTACTGTTGAAAACATTTTCAAACTTTGTATAAATATAAAATTGTAAATATCATTTTAATAGTGTGGGCTTACTTCTTAGGTTCCTACACATTCATAATCTTAATATGTTCCAGATATATTATTTCTGTTAGTAATGGTCCTCCTTATTTACAATGATTTCTTTTTCACTTCTGTCTATTTTGTTTGGAAAGTATATGGAAATATATATGAGCTTTCTTTCGATTAGTAATTGCCAAGTGTATTATTTTTATCTTTTTCAATTCTTTCACAATGCTATAAGTTTTATTCCTTTTGTAAATAACTTAAAACTGGATGTTATGAGTTGAATCTGAAAAATAATCTTCTTTAATAAATATATTACATAATATTTGACAAATGCAGAAGAGTATATGTGACATATGTATTTATAAGTTTATATACATTTATTTTATATATACTTATAAATGTATATATAATTTTCCAATCATAGTAATAAAATGAATAACTGAAAACTTGGCATTCAAAGAAAGAGTTTGAATATTATCAATTTAAAAAATAAAGATTTAAAAGAGCAAGCAAAGAGGATACAGCCATAGAATGAAGGAAGGAAAAGAAGTACTAGATGTCATGTGTCAGTCCAGTGTGAGATATAGAGTAAGAGTTGAGGAATATGGCTTAATCTAAAGGCCGGAGGAAGCACCTCAGCTTTTAAACAGAGGCAAACATCATCAGGTTAATGAATGTGGAGTGATACTTTGGTGATTTCTTGGGATGGACTGGAGTAGAAAGAGATAGTTGTCAAATTATTTAGGAAGCACACTTAATACAGGAGAAGCTAAGGACTTGAGAAGCTTAAGTGTAAATGAAGACAATTTTAATTGAGATATATTTGAAAGTATGCCTAAAAGCCTTGGTGACCACTTAGAGGAGAGAGAGAAAAACATTTTTAAACTAATATTGAGAGGGGTTGGTAACTAATGATTCTTCAAAACCCAAGCTATGTGAATCATCTTGGAGAAGTTAAGAGGTCTGAGAATAAAATGCTGAGGAATAGCAATATTTATCAGCCCACTGAATGAGGAGAAAGGGCATTTGAAATAGATTAGGATGAGTTGATATTTTGGGTTTTCTGATAATTTATTTCACTTGATGAAAACATTTAAATCATCATAGATTTTAAAATTATATTGAAAACTTAAAGATTATACTCTCTTAGAAATATACTTGTATTTATTGAAATGAGACTTTAAATTAACTGCTATTAATTTGTTTCACAATTAATTTGAAAATTATTGATAGCCACGATGCAATCTGAAATTGATAAATATTAGATTGAACTTGAAATTTTTTATATACCACTGGGAATGCAACTTGATATCATGACATACCCCCCACCCTGGTTTTTTCTTCCTCATGTTTTTATGTTAACTCCTGAGTGCAGAACAGCATTCGGCTTTGTAAACACAATATATATTTTAAAATTAAATTAGTCATTTGTAGTACATTGCGCCACATAGATAAGCTACATATAATCCAATGGTATGAAAACTTTAATTCAGTTGTTCTTACCTTTATTCAGATATCATGATATGGGACAATTTTTATTTGCTCTATCTCATTTAGAAAATATCAGTCATGAAGACTTGCCTCATTACAAGCTTGAAGTCATGACAAAGGAGTATTATTTCTTACTGTCCAGATTAAGAAGAAAATTATTAATTCAATCCTTTTCTGGTGATGCAGTTAGCTGCCTGGGGTCTTAGTGACTTCACTTCATTTAACACAAAGAAGTATAAAACTAACATATACAAGTTTCTTGGAGAAATCATGAGTAATTATTATCTTTACAATTAGTAAAAGGTTTTTGAACAAAATACAAAGCACTTAAAATAAGTGTTCTCTAAATAAATACATTATGTCTTATTACAGAAGGCTATCATTTGGATTGACATTTTCTTTTACATGAACATATTTTTGGCAGTTTCAACCTGGGTGATCTGAGTCATCATTATCAAATGCTTTATACCATTTATATATTAATAAAGTATCTGTGGCATTCTTTTTTTTATTGGTTGTTCAAAACATTACAAAGCTCTTGAAATATCATATTTCATACATTAGATTCAAGTGGGTTATGAACTCCCATTTTTACCCCAAATACAGATTGCAGAATCACATCGGTTACACATCCACATTTTTACATAATGCTATATTAGTAACTGTTGTATTCTGCTACCTTTCCTATCCCCTACTATCCCCCCTCCCCTCCCCTCCCATCTTCTCTCTCTACCCCATCTACTGTAATTCATTTCTCTCCTTGTTTTTTTTCCCATTCCCCTCACAACCTCTTATATGTAATTTTGTGTAACAATGAGGGTCTCCTTCCATTTCCATGCAATTTCCCTTTTCTCTCCCTTTCCCTCCCACCTCATGTCTCTGTTTAATGTTAATCTTTTCCTCCTGCTCTTCCTCCCTGCTCTGTTCTTAGTTGCTCTCATTATATCAAAGAAGACATTTGGCATTTGTTTTTTAGGGATTGGCTAGCTTCAGTTAGCATAATCTGCTCTAATGCCATCCATTTCCCTGCAAATTCCATGATTTTGTCATTTTTTAGTGCAGAGTAATACTCCATTGTGTATAAATGCCACATTTTTTTATCCATTCATCTATTGAAGGGCATCTGGGTTGGTTCCACAGTCTAGCTATTGTGAATTGTGCTGCTATGAACATCGATGTGGCAGTATCCCTGTAGTATGCTCTTTTAAGGTCTTCAGGGAATAGTCCAAGAAGGGCAATAGCTGGGTCAAATGGTGGTTCCATTCCCAGCTTTCCCAGGAATCTCCATACTGCTTTCCAAATTGG